TGCACTAGCCTTTGTTCCTATATATGGGGTCTTTGGGAAGCTTCTTTAGGTCCAATATTGAATATTAGGTAACTAGACATGCTAAATTTATAGATCCTGTTGGTGTCTAAAGAATGAAATTGGGGATGTAGCATTGGAAGACTCTCTCTCTCTCTCTCTCTCTCTCTCTCTCTCTCACACACACACACACACACACACACACAAGATTATAGATGTTTGCACGAAACTCTATTTTCTTTTACTATTTTTTTTTTTGATAAGTACATTTTCTTTTACTATATTTTAATTTAATGAATAGCTTCCTTTCTTATTTTTGGGCTGGCAGTTTCCACTAATTAGACTGAATATACCAACTCAATCTATTTATTAATATTATTATGCAATGTGATTGATAGATATAGCATTTTTTTCATGCATACTAGCATTAGTTTACAACTAATTTCTATCCGAAACTTTCTTTTTTTATTTTTTCCTTCACTATGCTGAACATGCAAATGGACTAAGTAAGTTTAATCCTTCTGACCATGTGTGGACAATATGTTGGTTTGGTGAAGTAGAATCACATCACTTGTTCAAAGTCTTGTGCAATGTTACCTGGAACGTGGATCGTTCCGGTTTAGGAAACAGGAATGGGAACGTGGTACGCCACATGCTCCAAAATATGGTACGATAGGAGTAGACTTGTATATATTATACTTGCAAATTTAAGGTACTTTTAAAGTAATTTTCTTTTGACTATTAAGCATCCAATAAAATTTATTTTTTCTTCTTCATGTAGCAAAACATTTTTATGTGTACTATGACTCATTTTTTATGCTTTGTTTTGTCAAAACCTAACTTACCTTAGATTTTAATTCATTATATTTGATTTTTTCCTCCTAAGGAAACAATTAAGGAAATTTTTTGGAAAAACCTTTTGAGATCGTTTCAGATCGCTAAATTTACCATTTTGGAACGCAAGTGTACCATATTTTGGAACGTGTGTACCAATATATAATTTGTTAGGGTATTAGCATTTTCTGGTAACATAGGTCCTGTGCACCACCTTTCATTTGACATTTTCAGGTAGTTGTTGTAAGGTAGATAATTTTTTACTTGATTTTATGATAAGGTGAATTCAGCATGTGACATTTTTCATTGTCCCTTCTAGATCTATGGCTTTGTATTCTCACTTTGACAATTGATGAAGTTTATTGCCAAAATTTCATAGAAGGCAAGCATTTTGTTATAGTTCAGTCAGTAATTCAATCCATCAAAGGGCATATATTGTTTGGAATTTTCAAAGCCTTAGTTATCATGCTTCCCTCTATAAGATGTGCAGAACTCGTGTTTTATCAAATTCTCTGTTTGTTTGTTTGTTTTTTTTTTTTTTTTTTTTTTGGGAACGATTCCTCAATTGTTGCTTTGAATTTGCGTTTTGTAGGCATGCCTGGTATGACGGCCTATGTTGGTTTTTATGAGCTATGCTCACCTAAGCAAGGAGAGTATGTTTTTGTTTCAGCTGCCTCTGGAGCTGTTGGTTAGCTTGTTTTGGCAGTTGTGCGAAGAGTTATTAGGCTGTTATGTTGTTGGAAGTGCCGGAACCAAAGAAAAGGTGAGTGCCCCTCCACATTCCATTATGCTATTCATCCTAAAGTAACCAGTAAGTGGCTGGCCCAATCAGAACTATATTGATTGCTCAATCAATGTATGTGGTTTGGCACCTTTTCCTTAACTAGCATGTTTGCAGAACTGTTACAAATTTTGAAATTTTTGCCAAACGGATCATGAAATAAATATCATGAAAATTTTCATGAAACTAATCTAAGGGTGATTGCATAACATACAACAAAACACAACAAACACTATAAACTAATCCAAGGGTGGAGAATCTTCATGAAGACTTTTCATGACATTTATTTCATGACACCTAGCGTTATTGATATTTTATGCTGGGTCAGAGCGAGCATGGCCACTGACTCTTCTTTTTTTTTTTTTTTTGTTTTTTTGTTTCTTTCTTTTACTATTTTTCAACCAAGGTTGATTTGTTGAAGAACAAATTTGGGTTTGATGAAGCTTTTAACTATAAAGAGGAGGACTTGGAAGCAACTCTGAAAAGGTGAGCATTTCATGTTCTTGTATAGAAATACATAACAACACTAAAAGATTTAGAGCCTGAGTACATTGCTGGATAGAATGGCTACTAATATGGACAACCTTGTTCAAGGAATGCCCGTTCATGAATAAAGCATGAAATTCTACAAGCCACCTTTTGACTTACCTTGTATAAAATAGATGGTGTCCAAAACTAAACTCCTTGGGGTCGTTTGTTGAAGATTGCATTTCTCCATTTTTTTTTTTTTGCTTTTGAAAACTAGAAACTAAAACTTGTTTGGTTTATTGTTTTCATTTACAAAAAAATGGAATTGATTTTAAATTTTTCACTTTTTTTGGAAATGAAAAAATGGTGTTCACTTATTTTCAAATCAAGTTTTCACTCTCTCCTCCTCCTCCACGTCTGGCCACCATCCATGCTGCCACCGCCCACTTATCAGAAAACAAGGAATTGGCAACGTTAACAATCGATATATTTCTTCAGAAAAGTGTTGGTCTTTTTCTTTTCTTTTCTTTTTTTTTTAAATCTCAATTTTCCCAAATTCAATATCTTCATTAGCTACTCCTCTGATCAAACTTTTTCCCAGGTACTTTCCAAATGGCATCGATATTTACTTTGAAAATGTTGGAGGAAAGATGCTTGATGCAGTACTTCTCAACATGAGACTCCGCGGTCGCATTGCTATGTGTGGTATGATCTCACAGTACAACCTTGAACAACCCGAAGGTATTCACAACTTGTTTTGTCTTATCACAAAACGAGTCCGTATGGAAGGATTTGTAGTTCCCGATTACTATCACATGTATCCAAAGTTTCTAGACATGATCTTGCCCCACATAAAAGAAGGAAAAATCACATACGTGGAAGACATAGCTGAAGGCCTAGAGAGTGCCCCAGCAGCTCTTATTGGGCTTTTTGTCGGTCACAATGTCGGCAAACAGGTAGTGATTGTTGCTCGTGAATGATGATGTTATTTATATCCTAGTAAACCCTAATGTAAATTCTTAGTATGTGTTGGTGAAAATACCAGAAGAATTATATTTTATTGATAAATAATGCAAAGAAAATGAGATACAAATAGATCAGGTTGAGGCACGGATATCTTATTTTCTTTAAGGAGATCAAGCCCACTACGGTAGGAAGAACCTAAATACCGATGTAGTAGTCACTAAACTATGACTAGTCTCCTCTAGGATACAACAGCCTGACCACTTGTTGTAAGGTTCAGGCCAACTTTGTACAAGATAGTGAATCCAAAGCTCCACCAAGAAAAATACCCTTTTTTGGTTAGTAATCTCTCAAGTGTAAAAAAATAGTTGGTCTAAAAAAGAGTAGATGAGATAAACAATTTATAGGCCACTAGGAGCTTACAAATTATACCAAAAAATAATGACCATTAAACTACAGAAAATGGAGAGTCTCAAAACCTCCAACTATTAACTCACTACCAAGCCCATAACCTTCCAATTAATCTCCATTTATGAACAAAACAAAAGGTCACCAAATAAAATAATATTCATGAATAAGATAAAAAGTCACAAAAAATAAATAAATAAATAAATAAAAGATATTAAAATGGTCTATCAATCCTCCACTAATTTAATATCAACAAGGACAAGAGAGATTACCAAATAAAGATAAACTAGTATACATCATGAAGGTGTGCTCTACATTGAACATTCATTAGTGAAACAACAACTTCTACTCCAGAGTCAGTAGTGGTCTCAGACTTAAACGATGACTACTTAGGGAAAATAAAGTATTACTGCTCACACATAATGATCTAGGTGTTTACATGAGCTTTTAATAGCCATCACATTACAGCCTTGTGCTTATCGCAATTTTCATAAGCATATTTGAGAATAAACTTTGTTCTCATAGAAAGTGGCTCCACTTTCATCCTCACATAGGTAAAATCTATCAAGGATGTTCTTGTAATTTACACACCCCACTTAACAAGAATTACAGAATTTCAGTAAGAGTATAAAAACTTAACCCTCTAACTAAGCCTGTCAACGGGTCGGATCCGGGTCGGATCTATCGAAATCCGATCCGATTAACTATTAATCCGAATCCGAATCCGAGGCCGATTATTAAAAATTCGATTACTTGCAATCCGATCCGATCCGATCCGTGTTAAACAGATATCTGATCCGTATAATCCGATCCGATCTGATTTTTTTCCCCTCTTTCTCTCCCCCCTCCCTCTCTCTCTCTCTCTCTCTGGTTAGGAACCATAGGCCCTACCAGTAGTAGCAAAATGATACATAATGAAAAACCCAATAAAAAAAATTACATGAAAAGTTATAATATCATAAACAATTGTCATTTTTATAAGCCTGAAATTTGAAAATAAAATTTAAAGTTAAAACATATGAAGAAATAATAAATAAATAAAGTATAGGGATCTAACATTGCCATTTTTCTTCAAGGTTTCATTAGTTTCATCCACCTGTAATATCACAATAAACACATGCATAACAAAATGTCCATATGTTTATATACAAGTAAAAAAACAATGTCTGATATACAAACAATTTGACCCTCTTCACATACACACAAATATACATTAAATTTTGATCCTATAAGATTTTGATATCAAGTTCACTAAGCACGAAAGCCACCTAGATTAGATATAGCACAAAAACATTCTCAAAAGCCACCTGGATTAGATATCCCATCACCTCACACAAAGTCACACAAAAGCCCAAAGTAAAACCAAACCCAAAATGATCTGATATACATTGCATAACATCTCTGAAGACAAGAAAGTTAAACATTCTCAAAGTGATTTGTTAGGTACAAAAGACCTGCAGCTGCTGTGATATATAACATCGTTGTTACCGCACTATAACGTCTACTCTTACAGAAAGCTTATGCAACCAATTAAACTTTCTGGAATTGAAAAAACATTAAAACTCTTTTCAAAGTTGCTACATCTACCAAAAAACAGTATATCCAGTTTGAAGCAGGAACAATCTTCCAACCAGATCACTCAGATTCATAGATTCTGGAATACGAGGAAAACCATGAAGCTCGCATCCAAGAATTTGCTGTTAGGAGGCAGCAGCCCTTGTCAATCTTTGTAGTTCAAATTCGTCAATGCATCCCAAAAGCTTCCCTCGCATTATAAATAAATAAATAAATAAAACTACTGATGGTAATGATTAAGATTGGACAATGATCAGCAACGATAAACAAGATTCTGTGAACTTAAAGAGCATCATAACGACGTAAACATTCAAAGGTAGAAAAGAAATTATCAATTAGAGATGTTATAAAAGTGCATATAAACAATTTATGTTAGAATGGCATAGCAGAAGTAATGCCAGAATCTACTGTTGTATCATCTTTTCTACCTTTGCCTCCTACTCAACAACCCAATTCTGAAACAGGTTAAGAGAGTGAAATGCACAGCAAAGAAGAACTGAACTGTGTTCAAGAGAGGTAACTCACATTCATCTGGTTTCCCTTAGAGAAACTCAACAAAATTTTCAGACAAACTAAACAATGTAAATCTTGATAACAATAATTAATCCTACAAATTTATAGGCCTCATCCAATACTTATTCACAGCTCAATCCAAGAATATCAAGCTCCAAGAAGAAAAGTTATGTAACCATATTTCACCACAAGCAGTTCTAGTAAGAGAGAGAGCAAATAAATTGTATAGAGGAGAGATAATTAAAGCTATATACTCACGATTCTTCCAAGTCAATAACTTTAATAGCAACCACTTTGTTAAGCTCATTATCAAACCTGCAAATCAAGAGAGCTATTACCTTAATATGCAAACAGATTATCAAATTATGTCAGATACGAATTTCATAGATCACTATAAAGGCATGGGACAAGCCCCATAATTTGAACCATATTTACCCATCTGCTTCAAGTGATTCAATTCAATCCATCTACTCATGTCAGCATTCTTCTACATCTGCAATTTCAAAATAATGTGACATTAAGATATTTATAGAACTAAACTAAATAACATCTAATTATTTAAAAACTTCAATATTTGACTTACTTCTATTTTTGGTTGATTCAATCCAATCATTGCAAGTGATCAAGGCCTCCACAATATCTGAAAGTAATGAAGCACGTGTCTCATCAATCACCCTACCTCCTACACTAAACGCCACCTCTGATGCAACCGTAGTAGCAGGAACACTTAAAACATCACGAGCCATCCTTGCCAAAGTAGGAAATTTTGCTTTATTCAATTTCCACCAATGTAGAATATTGAAGCTCTCATTACTTGGAAACACCAACTCCTCCAAGTATTGCTCCACCTCTGATTTTTGATAGGCATGAATATTAGAAGCACGTTCTTGGGCATACCACGCATGAAAAGTAGCCAAACTTTCTTGTTTCGAAGAACCGACAAGCAATTGACTACCACTTGAGCTACTATTTTCAGAAACAAGTGCAATGCTACTCATAGAATCAGAAGAATCACTCCTATACTCATAAAAAAGATCAACAAAACCATTACGGACCCTCTGAATATGCTTATTAGCATCAGCACCATAAATAAGCCCAAAGTAATATTCCACCAAGTCCATTTTAAATCTTGGATCAAGAACCACTGCAATTGCTAAAACCAAATAACATTCTTCCCAATATTTTTGAAATTTCACTCTCATTGGACCAGCCATCAATTGAATGCAATCATACTCACTTTGCTCCCATTTTTTCATTTCAAGTTGAATATGACAAATATCGGGAAAAAACACATTTGAAGTAGGAAAAGTGGTACCACTAAAGTGAGATGTAGCATCAAAAAAAATCTTCAAGCACCCACAAATCACATTTGCTACATTCCACTCATCCTCAGAAGGATTGTGCTTATATTGTTTGTCAATTTGCCCTAGGCGGTGGAATGCAGTTTTCAAATCTAATGCAGCTTCAAACATTGAATAAGTGGAGTTCCATCTGGTAGGAACATCCATGGGGACTTTCTTTTTATGATGTAACTTAACATGATTCACTGCAACATCAAATTTTTGTTTTCCATAATGAGACCTCCCCAAATATCTCACACTTTCTCGAATTTTTGAAATAAGACTCCCAATCACCTTCAAACCATCTTGAACAACTAAATTCAATATGTGCGCACTACAATGCACATGAAACAACTGTCCACCCAAATGTAGTAATCCGTGGTCATGTAGCCATCGCTTTAAGAGTCTCACCATGACATCATTACTCGTCGCATTATCAACTACCATTGAAAACAACTTCTTATCTATGTTCCACTCTAAAATTAGATCTTTGATAAAACTAAACAAATGGTCTCCATCATGCGGGTAATCAATGCGTCTATAAGCAAGGATTTTCTTCTTTAACTCCCAATCATTAGTCACATAATGGGCAGTCAAACATGTATAGGCAAAATTCTGATGGTCTGAAGTCCATATATCAATTGTCAAGGTGATCTTAGAAGAGAGTTCATCCAAAAATTGATATAACTTGGCCTTTTCTATTTCATAAACATCAAGGACATCCGCTCTAACAGTGTTACGAGACACAAGTTTGAATATTAGTTGAAGATTATTGCAAAATATTTCAAAGAACTCATGCTCAGCCATGTTAAAAGGATAATTATGCTTGATTATCATCCTAGAAAAATCCATACGACTTCTCTCTTGATCGAATTTAAAAGTTGCAGCCTTAGGAGTAGATTCAGAAGCAGCCTTACTAGCATACCTAGGGGCATTTGGCCCTTTAAGTACTGGGCATGTCTTCGACAAATGATTTTTTAAATGACTAGTCCCTTTCCCTTTCCTACTCTCTCCAACAAATTCCCTATTGCAATGCTTACATCTAGCTATGTCATTTCCACTAGGTCCTTTAAATTTGACAAAGTCATCACATACCTTCGAAGTTAGTTTTCGAATCCTCTTTGTGGGTCCTTGAGATACATCGTCATCCAACTCGGCATCATCAGGAATAATAGGTTCGCTATAATCCGAAGACATCTTTGGCTCAAAAACTCAAATATGCACTGCACAAGAAATCAAACATAAAGGAGCAGGAGTTCATTTAAAAACAGTGTGCACCAATTTGGAAATTATATAGATTTGTGTGCATGTGATCAATCTACTGTAAAGGCATGTGGAATTCATTTAAAAACAACAAAACTGATAAGCAGCTATCCCATTACTAAGTCTTTGCAGAGGATATATAAGATGGTATAATGCACCAACCATAATAGATATATAATTAGTGGAAGATATATAAGATGGTGGAGCTCTAAAGATGCATGTACTACAAGGGAATTTAAACCAACATCCTATCATTGAGACCCACAATTTCCAAAACCTATGGACACCAGTCATCTATATTATTTGGGAGTAATTATGGAGGATACAAATTGCAGTGTATTCATGGGGTCTATTGAAGGTAACCCTCTCTTCCTCTCTAATTGGTGTTAATTGTTTTTAAGATTCTACTTAATTAGTTAATATTTTTGTGTAAGTGAAGTGAAATAAAATTCTTGATTTAAAATACTGATGAACTTAACCAAATTTGTGGAAATCATATTATTGTTCTATAATTAGCAACTGTAATCTATAATAGAATTAACATTCACCTGTCTTGCTATGTAGCAATTCTTCTTCCTCATATCCTGAGTTGACTAGATATAAACTGCTATGTAGTAAGGCTGTGTGTGGGTCATGGAATTGGGGTAATGATTTGAAAATGGAAAGGAAAATATGAGGAAAACAGTGGAAAAAACACAGCCTAATAGACAAAAAACACCAAGTTGAAACAGCTTAAATAAATCAACCGACCCCCTGATTCAAAACTGATAACAAAAATATGATATTACATTCAACAAACAACCCAAAGTACCTATCCAATAACAAATATATAGAGTCCCAAAAACATCCAAGAAAATATTTCAGAATTGATTTTCCATTCAAACAAACAACCCAGACCTCTTATATAAAGGAGAAACACAAGCACAAGGTAGTAAAAAGTAGATACAATGACAAACACAAACGGATCAGAGAGCTCACCGAAGAATACCTAGATGAGAGAAGTCGGAGAAGAAGACGATGAAAGATAGATTTGATATTGACCAGAGAGCTCACCGAAGAATACCTAGATCAGAAACGGCACAGAGCTTGATTTGGCTAAGTTCATTGTCGTCAATCGGAGTAGGAAGAGACGATTGGAGAGAGATTTGCTTACGAGAGAGATCTAGGTATTCTTTGATGAGAAATGCTGAAAGAGACTATGAGAGAGATTTGATTCTGAGAGATCTAATATGGTTTCTAGGAATTCAATCGGATTAGGCAAACAAATGGACCGAATCGGATTTATCCGAATCCGAACCGTTTTAAATCGGGCTATGCAGATTCGGATTAAACAGATTTCCGGATTTGGATATGTATAAATGGATCGGGTTAATCAGATCGGATTCGGGTTATACCCGATTCGTTGACAGGCCTACCTCCAACATTACATGACATATGTACTTACATCATAAGGATGGACAACAAAATATTAAGGAGTACATTTTTTTACAACCACCATATGATTCGTTTTTCCCATTGAACCTAGTTACAAGGTCTCTGGTCTCCAGGTTGGGTGTCCTCATACATAGTTTATGATTTTATAGGCTTCAAACCCATCTCCCTCGATGTATTACAAACCCTATCTCTCGTCAAGGCCCTGGTTAACGGATTCGCTAGATTATTACAAGATTTTACATAATTCACAATTATGATGCCATTACTCAAATAGGATCTCACGTTACTGTGCTTTCTTCGAATAGGTCTGGATTTATCATTATAAAAATGGTTGTTCACTCTACCAATAGCAGCAGTGCTATCACGACAAATTAATATAGGAGGAATTGATTTTTTTCCAAAAAAGGATTTCATATAACAAATCTTTCAACCAATTCGTTTCCTCGCATACTAAAGCTAACGCTATAAGCTCAGCTTCCATTGTAAAATTAGCAATTATAGTCTGTGTTTTAGACTTCCAACATATAGCACCACCACCCAAGGTAAAAATAAAACTCGAGGTAAAGAGAGAATCACCTGACGAAGTGTTCCAATCAGCATCACTATATCCCTCAAGTACTGCATGATACTTGTTATAAAACAAACTATAATTTTTGGTACTAGATAAATATCTCATAATTCTTCCCACAGCTAACCAATGATCTCGACTTGGCTTGCTAGTAAATCTGCTAAGTACTTCAACAGCATATGCAATGTCAAGTACAGTCAGTAGTATATCTCAAACTATCAATCATGCTAGCATATTCCTTTTGGTTAATCACTTCTTTTTCATTTGTTACAACATATAAATGTGTGCTTGTATCAAAAGGAGTAGCAACATGTTTACAATCTAGAAAGTTATATTTCTTTAAAATTTTCTCAATGTAATGCAACTGATCAAGAAAAATGTCATCATTAGTCTTGGTAATTTTAATTTCCAAAATAAAATTGGCTTCACTAAGATCGTTCATATCAAAGTGGCTATTAAGTATATTTTTAGTGTCATTTATAATATGCAAATTAGAGCCAAAGATAAGTAGATCATTTACATATAGGCTAATAATCACATGTGCATTTTCACAAGTTTTATAATATATGTACTTATCACATTCATTGGTCTTATAGCCATTCTCAAGCATGTAGGAATCAAATTTATCATACCACTGTTTAGGAGCTTGCTTTAAACCATAAAGGGATTTAGTTAGCTTACACACCTTACTTTCTTGGCCAGGCTCCACAAAGCCCTCGGATTGGTCCATGTAAATCTCCTCATCTAGATCTCCATTTAAAAATGTTGTTTTCACATCCATTTGATGAAATTTTAAATCATGAATTGCAGCCACTGCTATCAACAGTCTAATGGATGTAACTCTAGTAACCAGAGAAAAAGTATAAAAGAAATCAAGATCAACTTGTTGCTTAAAACCTTTGGCGACAAGCCTCGCTTTATATTTATCTATAGTTCCACCCAGTTTAAGTTTTTTACGAAGGACCCATTTACACCCAATAGTTGTACAACCTGGAGGTAAATCCACTAGCTTCCATATTTTATTTGAAAGTAGTGAATCTATCTCATCATTTACATCTCTCCAGAAAATAGCATCAAGTGATGATAAAGCTTCTTACATCATACGAGGAATTTCTTACACATTGTAAAGATAATAGTCAAGGCCAAAATCTTTTTCAACTCTAGCTCGTTTACTCCTTTGTTGGATTTGAGAATTTTCTTGTTCTTGAAAAACTTGAGATGGAGTAGAAGAGCTAGGTATGAATAAAATATTTTCAGAAATTATTTGACCCCCACTATTTCTAGATTTGAAAGGAAATTTATTTTCATAAAAAAAATAGCATCACCTGTTTCAAAAATAATATTATTTTCTATATCAAAAAATTTATAAGTTGTACTATGCAACGCATACCCAAGAAAAGCACAAGTAGTAGCTCGTTCACCTAATTTAGGTCATTCAAGATCTGCAAGCGTCACAAAAGTTAAACAACCCCAAACTCTCAAATAACTTAGATTTGGCTTATGTCCCTGCCACAACTCATAAGGTATAATTTTAGTCTTTTTGTGTGGCACTCTATTTATCACATGGCAAGCTGTCAAAATAGCCTTACTCCAAAGATTTGAAGGAGCACATGAATCAATAAGCATAACATTCATCGAGTCAATGAACATTCTTCTTTCAACTATGCCATTAGATGAAGGTGAATATCGTAGAGTAGTCTCATGAATAATTCTTAATGACTGAACGAAAGAGCTGAATCCAAGAGATTCATACTCCCGGCTTCTATCACTTCTAATTCTCTTAATTTTTTTACCGAATTGACTTTCCATTTCAAGAAGAAATTCTTTAAATTTCTCAAAAGTATCACTTTTATTTTTTTTAATAAATATATGTTTGTGTATTTTAAAAAATTATTAATAAGAGTGATAAAATATCAGTTACCACCATGAGTTAAAATTTCTTCAAACTCACACAAATCAATATGAAATAAGTTTAGCAATTCGGTATTTTTCTCAACACTTTTGTGAGGCATTTTGGTAATTTTTGCTTTATTGCAAACTTCACATTTCTCAAAAAAATTGTCACTTTAGGAATTAATCCTAAACTATTCATGATTCCCACATATTTACTGTTAATATGATACAAGCGAGCATGCTAAAAATTAATAGAAGACAACATATAAATCGAATTGGTAAATGGTTTATTAATCTCAACATTCAGTTTGAACATCCCATCACAAGCATAACACTTTCCCACAAAAATACCCTTCTTGGTAATCGCATATTGATCAAATTTCTAGTTTACTTAAAGCCAACATTATTCAACAAATAACTTGACATCAAATTGCTCTTCATTGATGGTGTATAAAGAACATCTTTTAAAGTAAGCATACATCCAAATGTGAAGTTAAGGTCAACCTCACCACTCCCAAGTATCTTGGTTTGACTAGAGTCACCAAGCATAATTGTTTTCTCATCATTAAAGGGAGTGTATACCTTGAACCAAGTTTTAGCATAACAAACATGTCTATTAGTACCAAAATTTGCCCACCAACCGTCCACATAATTAACCATGCAAATGTTTGTAATCATCACCACAAATGGCTCCTCGATAACGTTAGCCTTTGGGACAGGTGCACGTTTTCGAAATTTTGCAAGTTCAAGCAATATGCCCACGTTTACCACAGACAAAGCATGTAAAATTTTGTGGAGGTGGTGGACCTTGGTTCTTATTTAGATTAATCCATTTATAGTGAGGCTTACCATAGTTCTTTATATTCTTTTTATAAGGCTTCAAATGAGCATTCTTGGAATTATGACCTTTGGATAAGTTATTAGTTGCTGAAACAAAGTTTACCTTTATAGTGGAATTGTCATTACCCTCTTGTGTTATTAATGCATCTTGGCCTCTAGTCTCCTCTTCGACTCGGATGCGAGTGATCAATGCCTCTAAAGAAGTCTCCTTTTGTTTGTGGTGCATGCTCTTTTGGAATTCTCTCTAAGATGGCGATAACTTGTCAACAAGTCCTACAACTACCAAGTTGTCACCAATCTTGATGTTTCCAGATCTTACTTCTGTAACTATCATTTGGAAATCTTGTGCTTGCTCCACAACAGATTTTCCATCCACCATTTGGAAGCGAAAAAATTGGCTAGCTGCATATTTTTTTGCTCCTACCTCTTTAATATCATACTTAGACTGTAAAGCTTTCCAAATTTTCTTTGCAGAAGTGTAAGTGGTGTCATAGTAATCATAAAATTGATCAGCAATGCAATTTAAAAGATAAAAACGACATTTATACTCATCTGTATTGCATGAAGTCACTTTTGCTTTATATGTCTCATAATCTTCATCATTCATCTCCTCGATTAGGATTTTGTTTGGGTTCTTCTCGATAAGAACATAAGCAACTTTCAAAAGGCTGAGGTAAAAAATAATTTTTCCTTTCCACCTCTTAAAATGAACTCCCTTGAACTTAAAAGGCTTGTTGAGATCTCCAATTCCCTCGTTGATTTTTTCTGGTATTTGTTACATTTTGATCTCTTTAAAATTGTTGGTGAAAATATCAAAAGAATTATATTTTATTGATAAATAATGTAAAGAAAATGAGATACAAATAGATAAGGCTGAGGCACGGATATCTCGTTTTCTTTAAGAAGATCAAGTCCACTGCGGTAGGAAAAATCCAAATACCGATACAATAATCACTAAACTATGACTTGCCCCTCCAAAATACAACAATTCGACCACTTGTCGTACGGTTCAGGCCAACTCTGCCCAAGATGGTAAACCCAAAGCTCCACCAAGAAAACACCATTCTTTAGCTAGTAATATCTCAAGTGTAAAAATATAGTCGGTCTAGAAAAGAGTAGATGAGATAAACAATTTATAAGCCACTAGAATCTTACAAATTATACCAAAAAATAATAAACTATTAAACTAGAGAAAAATGAGAGTCCCAAAACCGTCAATTATTAACTCATTACCAAATTCATGACTTTCTAATTAATCTCCATTCATGAACAAAATAAAAGTTTATTAAAAAAAAAAATCATAAACAAAATAAAAGATCACAAAAATAAATAATATTAAAATAGTCCAACAATATGCTAACTTATTACAGAAATAGTTTCTTACTGCGATGATGTTGCTAGAAACAGTTTTTTCAAGTTTTAATCAACCTATGTATGAGTGTCAAGGAAGTGTGAGTGTGAGTGTGACGGGCTGTATATGCTTTGCCCTATTTGTTTCCAAGTTTGTGAACTCTGGTAAGTTTCTTCATTACTATGTACTCTCGATTTAATAAATACAACTGGTAATTTGTGTTATGCACGGTACGTAAAAAAATTAATAATATATTTTTACATAAATTAATATAAATAGTTAAATTTTTATATATAAATTACGAAAATAAAAAATTTTTATATGTAAATTATGAAAATAAAGAAGATTAAAATTTACAATTTAAATCCCATAATTTTATCATAATTTATTTATTATTTTTTAATTTATCAAAAATTTAATCATGTAACTTTGAACCTCCCTGGTTAGAATTGTAAATTTAAGTAAGTTTAACCCAAACAACTTAAGTCGAGTTTAAAATTTTTTAAAGATTGAACAACATGGTTTTTAATTAAATGAGGACCTATACAAAAAATCAAAAATTCAAATTAAATTTTGATGATTATATATATAAATATATAAATTATTTGCTAATTTATTTTTTTAGATAATAAATAAAATTTTAATATTAACGAACAAAAGAAAAAGCAATATACTTAAGATTTCCAATAGAATATTTATTGAAAATTGTGGGGATGTATTTTCTGAATACCAACACGTGGCATGCACTGCTGGAAAACAGGCTTTTAGTGGCGTTTAAAAAACGCCGCTATAAGTGTAAAAAACGCCGCCAATTCCTTTTGCGACGCTTAGCACCAAACGCCGAGGATGCGGCCGTCGCTATAGCTTTGTGGCGTTTTAAAAACGTCGTGATATTAGTATAGGCGGCGTGTTCAAAAACGCCGCCAAATGTCCTACTAAACGCATGCTGACGTCACTGACGATCTTTCGCGACGTTTTGGAAAAACGCCGTCATATCTTTTTTTGAAAAAGTGACCGTCAGTAAGTAGGGTTTAAGAGGCATTTGTAAAAACACCGTCATATACCTTTTTTTTTTTTTTGAAATTGTGCTAATTTTATTTGATTGAACTAAAAAAATACCTATAATGAAGCATTAATTCACTTTCTCATTCAATTAATATCCAATCACCATTACCCACAAAATTAACATATCCAAAATCTAAAAATCATGTTTTAACATTAACCACAAACTAACATAAATTAAAAAATCATGTCTTAACATTAACCACAAACTAACATATATCTAAAAATCATGTCTTAGCATTAAATTTGTAGTCTTCACTGGTTTATATGCCTGCATCAAAACATAAACTGCAATCAGATTCAAAAAAATAAACACAAATTAAAGAATTTGTACCCAATACATATAAACAGTACTTGAAGAAGCACTAACAAGAAGATTTTATCACATACCAAGAAGCACTAACAAGAAGATTTTATGCATAAGTGATCACATAAATAGGGGAGAAATTTAACGGATGGAATTTAGCTTGAATTATAATTACTTTTGACAGAAATCAGAAGAATGAAGACCAAGAGTTACTTAAGATGGCAAAGAAATTAGATGTGAAAACTACGGAAGGGTCTCGAGTAACACCAAAAACTGCTGGTATAGAGTCAACCTGAAAATGGGCATCAAATTATCACTAAAATACTAACTACAAAATCCTCAAGAATGTATACACCTAACATGGACAGGGACAAAGGGAACCCACTGTGAATGCAATATCACTGAGCTCAATAATTGCCACTGTCAGAAGTAAAGGTGTGGCCTGCCAAAAATGTTTGATGCCCATTAAAAGTCAATTTAAACTATAATTTAACACAATCAATGGCCTTTAAATTTCTGTGCAATAAAAGAAGTGATCTGTTGATCCAGAGAGAATTTTGAAGTCCTTCCATGCAATTAAAAATTATCTCTTATTAAGTATGCTGAATAGATGATGCAGTAAAGTTGCAAAAATATTGCGCTAAGATAAACCCATCAAGGACTTACTTTCCACACAACATCCTAAATGGTTATGAATTGATTTCCGTCATAGTTAGCTGCAATATCAAGAAAGAATGATAGCATATGAGGATCTTGAGCTACAAAATAGACAATGCGGACTAAAAAATGAATAGGTAAATTAAACCATTAACCACCAGTCGAATGATATTTGGAGTGAAAAGACCCTAAAGATGGCTTAGAGACACAAACATAGGATTAACACAATAATAACTAACTTTTCTCAAATGGTTTGAAAGCAAGGCTCTGGATTAACACAATAAGATCACTTGGTTGTGTACTTGTCTAATGAAAGCAAGGCTCCTCGTTCGTGACCCAGCACAGTGTTTTCTTAAAAAATAAAATCAAATCATGAAAGAATGATCAATTTAAGCAAGTAATTGTGCATGATTCATTAAGTTTTAAAAGCAGCAGCCAAACAGGGGGGAAAACAGGGTTTACCGATCCATATTGCATGGCATGCAACTGAATGAGACCACAAGGTTCAAATCTACTAGGGAGCAACATAAAATCAGACCCAGCAATAATCATGTGGGCCAAGGGTACGTTGAATTTTTCCACTCTTCTGGCCTTGTCGGGATATATTATCTCAAGCTGTTCTAGCTGCTTCTCTATGTATTTCTTGCCAGTGCCCTAATAGAAAGAGCAAATCCATTTCACAATTCAAACCAGAAAAAAGCGACAAATAAAAATTCTCTTTTAAAAAAAAGAGTTACCTAAGAAAAAAAAAACACTAAACTTACAAGAACTACAATCTGAACATTCTCTCTAATGAATTTAGGAATGGCAGCCGCTAGGATATCCGAGCCTTTCTGCTCTTCTAGTCTACCAATGAATCCGATCAAGGGGATGTTTGCGTCCACAGGCAACCCAACTTCTGCTTGAAGTGCTTCCTTCAAAAGACACTTTGCAGCCATGACCTAAAAAAATCACAATTGTAATACGCTAAGGCTTTTTAAAGGCACAAAAATATTGAGAGATTAATGGAAAATTAAGACAGTAGAAAAAGAATTAGAAGAATCTTACAGTTGTGGCATTATATTTGACATCAATGTATTTATCTATAGATGGATTCCACTCCTGGACATCCATGCCATTGACAATACCAGTTATACCGGTCTTACGAATGATGTTATCCAATTCCACACCCTTATCTATACCAGAAACAAGTTCCTGGGCATAGTATGGGCTCACTGTTACGACCCTGTCTGATTCTAATATTCCACCCTTCATCCAGTTAATTTTCCTTCCCTTGGCAGGCTTGTCATAACTGCAACATGCGAAGACTTGTACTTGGTCTTCAGATAACATGGAAGAAGAGCAGTGTGCCAATCATTGGCAATGAAGACAACATCCTCCCCTGCATTTGTACGAGACAGATATGTTACACCATTTATAATAGAATGCAAAATAAATAGATAAATAAAGGTACAAACTTTGAGAATGGAACATACCATAAGGTCCAGAGAAATATTTATTGTTGTTTAGATTCAAAATCCTTGGTGCCTCCAAAGCAGCCTGAGTTCAAAGTATGGATTCCAGTTTCCATTCAGGAATAAAATGAAGAATCTTGCAACTTTCTGTTACAATGCCAAGGTATAAACACGGAGGGCAAAAGAGGATTTCATATTTCTTATTTTTTATAAATACTGAATGCAATGGGGGATAAAGCCTCTGGTAATATTGACTGCAGCAAGGATAGCCTGGAAGCCAACTTCAGAGTTAGGGTAAACAAGCACATACTACAAATTTCCTTCATGTTTTCTATTTGCCAGTGACATCTGCTTATACTTCAACTTACCTTATAAGAGATGCTCAATCACCTCTCTAATAATCAATTAGGCATAAAACAAAAATTATAATGGCTTATTTATTAAATTTTAACCTTCAATTATCTTTTTAGGATTTGGATGCATTTGGATTTCTCAAGGTTGGAGCTTTAGCATTGAATGAAGAAATTTCAAACAAAAGGATTGGAACTTGCTGATAGGATCTATCAGAGTAGCTGCCAAATGACGAGTAAGAACCTTCTAGAAAAGAAAAATTAGCATATTTAAAATTGGTCAATTATTGTCCTGATCAAACTAGGAAGTTTATTTGAGTTGGAGTTACGACGCAAACTGAAAAAGTTTGTTTTAGTTACAAGGAGACATTAACTTTGCAACATCATTAATCCCATAGCTCTTTCCATTCTTTGGAGCTCCAAAGAGCTAGCTGGTTGGGCTTTTTAACAATCTTCCAATGTTATTCTTGTTTCTTTCATCTTTTCTTTTCTTTGAAACATGACAATGACCAAACAAACATAATAAGAAGTTTAGTGTGTAAAGGAGTCAATCCTATCTCTCAATGCAAATGTTTCTAGCTTCTAACTATAGAGTTCCCACAAAGAAATCCCAATATAGTAGCAAAGAAAAACAAATTATTAGGTACTATACCTTTGGTTTTTGAGTACTGCTCAATGACATCATCAACCAGGATATCAAAGCTTGGAATATATCCATGAAGACCTTCTGAAAGACCAAATCCTGGATAATCCATCGCAAAAACTCCATATCCAGAAAATACTAACTTCCTGGCAATTCCTGTAGACAATTCCGTAAAACAGTTACATTCCATTTGTCTCACAATGGAGGCTCTATTTAATGACAAAACAAAAGACTAATGCACTTCATGGAGAATATGCAAAATGCTCACCGTACAAAGAAAGTGGCAATGCATAGGTTTATCAGTTAGTCTACTTAAAAGTAAAAATCCCTATTCTTTACAAAATTTATCATACAACAGAGCACTGTGCTCTGCTTCTGCGCAGTACAAACTTTCTTCAGAAAAATTAAAATTAGCAGTAATTACAGCACTATTAGTTGCTCTTTTACTCAGATAATTTTATATGCTTTAAATGAGACTAGAATGTAAATAACAATCAGTTTATAAGATGATTGGGAACAACCACCAACAAAATAATAATTGGTCTCTTTGAAAGGTAAACTAGTAGTTACATCAGATTCTCCTATCATAATCATTTTATGTATTCTTGTTTTCATATGATAGGCTAATTTTACTGACTTAAAAATTTTCTGGCCATGGGCTGTTAGAGTTGTCATGGGTTGTAATATGAGTCAACCCATGTTGTTGGATCTCCAAACATGTTTTTTAGTTAGTTTTAGAAGCGAAAGTCTAATTTTCAAATTTTGAAGTCAAGTGCCCTTTCGGAATTAGGAATTCTTTTTTAAAAAAGTAATATAATACTTATAATTCAACGAAGAACATGCTTTAGAGCTTTTTGGAGCTTCTTTGGGATTGTGTGATGCATTCCTAATGCTAGGCGTGATGCCTAAGGGACTCTAGGTGGGATGCCTTTCATCTTCTTTTTCTTAATTTTCTGCAGTTTAAGCACTTTTAATGATAGCCTTGCAGCTCCACCTTTTGTTAGCCATAAAAACCCTAAAAACCTTTCTCTCACCAAGCTTTCAACCACAAAACTAAGTATTATCGCCCCAAAAACCTACTTCATGGTTGTCCCACACTACATTTGGCTAACTATTTCTCTTTATTCATCCTACGTCACATCACATGTGAGCTTATGGAAGATAGTCCTGCCACCTGTATCTCAAGTAAAGAAAAGAACCATGCATGATGCACCACCATAACCTTGTGTGAGTTTATGCAAATAAGCTTCATCCACATTTTAATTGTGCATCATGGAAGGGATGGGTATAGGAGCATAAAGCTAAGAAAACTGCTCTAACTAGAAATTCATTTCATCATAATTTTCCTTATGACAGTCACAATTTCATTATACATCTTTAATCATGTCAATATTGAATATTGTATATTCATCCAGTACTTCTTCCTTTTCTAAGGGCTACTATTTTATATTCAATAAACCCAATATATGCTTTCTAAGTCAACAAAGACAAAAACAACATGAATTATACATAGCAATATATCCACTCCACAAACAAGTGCTCCATGCTTACACGTAACAATATAAACTCCATAGCAGATTATGCTCATGGGCAGCAATCTAGACTTGGCCAATTTCCAGCACAAACTATATTCCAATTACCTTTGATGTAAAAATTAAATGGATATACCATGATAACTATGCATTTATCTTCACTTTTCTAGTGAAAAATCTTAGCAGTGAATTTGTCATTAGTATTTTGTATTTCAAACTGGAGAAATAAGAGAATGCAAACAAAATATTACGATAACTTGTATTTTTACAAATATTACCTAAAAATTCGAAGACGACTGAGAAAAAAATCACAAAAGCTAGACTTGCCAAGAAAAGTCCCAAATTTCCAGAAAGTAGACTAGATATTAGAGGTGTACAGCCCATAAAAAATTCACAAAGCATAAGACCACATAAGCTTTAAATTCAGCAAATTTTCACATTCAAGACCGAGTTGAAAATAAGAAAAACAAAAAACAAAGCAATTAATAAAGTTCAATATGACACAGTACTCGAGCAACAACACAAGACACGATTAGAGTGGAGGAGACACCTTAGGTGGCTTGAAAGGGTAATCTGGAGGAAAATGGATGGTAACTAGAAAAACCCCACCAGCATAAGGACTGTCAGGTGGACCCATAATTGTTGCCTGCCAGTGAAACATGTCTTCAGCAACAGGACCTGAAACAAATACAAAATAAAGCAAAATCATCAACAAAAGAAAAAAAGAACTGCACAAAAAGTGAAGGACAAAACGTGGGGAAACTGTCACTGAGACCGATCTAAATCTCTGCGAATGATAAGCGTTTAGAGAGGGTTGCGAGAGAGAGAGAGAGAGAGAGAGAGAGCTTACCTACCTCATCGGTGCAGATGGTCGTGGCGGTGGAGCTTCGAAATCGAAATCGAAATCAGAGATTCAGATTAAATCGAAATCAGAGAAGGCGCAAGGATTCAAAATAAGAGAACTTCGAAATCAAAATCAAAACCGATCCGTTGATTTCTGTTGGAAGGGATTAGGGCATCTAGAGAGAGAGAGAGAGAGAGCGAACGATAGACTGAGATTAGGGCATCCTCCTGATAAGTGAACGAGTGTATTTACCAGCTCGCCACAGAGAGGACATTCGAAGACGTTTTTCAACGCCTTCAAATAGTTAAACGGTGCCGTTTTAATATTGAACAAAAACGACGGTTAAAAAACGCCGTTAAATAGTATAAAATGTGGCGTTTCATAAAACGCCGTTAAATAAACGTCGTCAAAACCTATAATTCCTGTAGTGATGGTGACGTCGACGTATCAGCCGAGGTGCCACGTGCCCTGGTAGTTAAGCCGAGGTAATCTTGGAGAAGCTGAGGTCATCTCCGAGGATATCAGAATCCGAGATAAGGGACAAGAGTCCTAAGACGGAGAGGGGACTTGACCTTGGATAAGGATAGAACTCTTAGGGAGTTTATCTTTATCTCTTTAAGAATCCAAAGTAAACATTGAGATGAAGTTCATAGAAGTCATACTTCTATTGGGACTTGGATTGAGTATATTATAAAAGAGAGGCACCCCCATGGGTCTAAGGTATGCAATTTATGTTTTGAGTATTCAGTTTAGCACTTGATTATCTTTGAGAGATATACTGACTTGATCGTCGGAGTGCCCCCGGGTGAGAGAACCACCGCCGGAGCTTTTTCTTTCTGTTACAGGTTGCTAAAGCCATCTATTCTGCCTGTGCTCTCCAGCTGATCACTAAACGGGCAGTGTGGTCAGATTTTCACCCACACAAAAATATTTTAAAAAATACACCTTTTAAAAAGGGATCATTGAATAAAAAGTTTTTTGGGAAGCGTCATATTAGCTCACTTTTTTTTTTATCTTTTTATCTTTTTTAAGTCACATCACATCTCTATTTGTACATATTTTCGTAAAAAATAAAAAAGTATACTTATTTAACACTTCCCAAACTACCACTAAGTTGATATTAAAAAAATTTACTTTTTATAATGGCATAAGTAATTTAAATATGATCTTTTAGAAATTCTTTTTAATTTAAAAATTACAATAAAATATTAAATAGAATAAAAATAAATTTCTTACAAAATAAAAGTATTCGAATAAAAAAATGTAAGAGGAAAATTTAATATGGTATTTTCATTTAATCAATTCTAGATGAATAACAAATTATCATCTATAACTCTTTTTTTAAAATAAAAAAAGTTTAACGAACTATCACTTTTAAAAATTAAAAAAAAAATTAATGTTTCTTTCTAATTTATTTTAGCAAAGGCAACTTTTTAACAATTTGTGCCAAAAATATTTTCATTCTTTATTTTAATTTTTTAATTGACAATTGAGATTAAAAAAAATAATAATAATCTAACAAAATCCACCATATTTGGTAAGTACTAAAAAAGTTATGTTTTGTTCTTTTGTTAAAAAAAAAAAATATATTAAAAAATATTATTATTCAGATCCTTATAGTTTAGAAGTATATAATTTTTTTTATATAAAATTTAAAACAAAAAAAAGAAAAAGAAAATAATAGCGATTAATAATTTGAACACATGTATTTAAAACAAATTATGTTTAGACCAATAATATTATGACACATATGAATATTGATCTCATTCTAATTGTAGCAATATAATTTGAAGAAAAATTTAAATTTGAAATTTTATTTTATAATTTTATAAAGGATGCAAAATTTAAGGGATGAATATTGATCTCATTTCAATTATAGTAACATAATTTAAGTAAGAATCCAAATTTGAAATTTTATTTTAAGAATACAAAATTAATTTATAGACCAATCATATTGCAACATATATTAACAAAAAATTAAACAAAATAAAAAAATAAGAAAAAAGGATTACAACTTTCAACTCTAATGAAATGACAATATTTTGCAATTATAATAGTATATAGATATATAAATAAATTATGAAATAGATCATTATTCAAAACTTATATATTATGGGATAAATCATTATAATTTTAAATTTAAAATAACGGAATGCTTTCTATATTTAGTTTCCCTCAAATTTAAATTTGAAATGGATTAGTATATTATATATATATATATATATATATGGTATTTTTGTCATTTTGTTTTATTTTAAATTTTTTTAATATACAAATTATTATTTTTAAATTTTTTATAAAGAATAATGTAACAATTTCATCACTAACCATAGTGTATCAAAAAAGTTGAAAAGGGTGTAGTGGTAGGTATGGAAGAAGTCAAAAAGGCTTTTGGGATGAGAGAAGTCAATAAATGCTAAGATTTTTTTATTTAAAATAAAAAAATTAGAAAATTAAGATTGAAATATTAAAATTCCCACAAGACTTGTGAGTTAGAAACTTCATTTTCCTTATATAATATATAGATAGATGAGTGTGATGTTTATTTATTATGCTTTTAATTTCTGATATACTGAAATTAATAATAATTTGTAATATATATGATTTAGAAGAAGAATTTGATCGTCTAAGAGTACTATTATCAATCGTTTCCAATCAATCTATCATTAATTATAGTCAAAGAATTTTTACAATTAAAAGATGAATCAAGACTGAATAAATTTTTGTATAACGTGTCTAAAAATAATTACAATATTTAATCTTGATTTAATTTTTATCACTAGGATCAGCACCATGGGCCTTATTTGGTACTCTGAACATGAAGTATTTTTATTTCTTAGTTTTGTTTGGATATTTATATTTCTCCAATTGTCAACCCTTAAAAACTTTCTTTGTTTAAGCGACAGAATGAAATGGGATTAACATCCCTAAGGTTGTGAGTCTTAGAATATTGTATCCTATTCCATATTTGAATTGGTCTCCTATACCAAATTTCGATTGGTTTAGTGGAATTGACAGAATTTTATTCAATTCACAACATACTTTTATACTACTTTTGAAAATGTTTTCCTATAGTTTCAATTAACACATGTTTATTTGCGCAAAAAAAAAAAAAAAATTACAATCACTCTAGGATTGTATTTTATGACTAAACTAAAGTGTTTTCTTTTTTATATTATAAATTTTATTACATATATAAAATTCTTATTCTTTATTGCAAAATAAATAAATAAAAAATGAATATGCATAATTGCTCTTTAAATTGAATATTTAGAGAGCATTGTTAAGAAATTAATTGGTGACATAAAATAGATGAAATATCACATCAGTAAAAAATTTTAAAAAAATAATAATAATTACAAATTAATGAAAATATTTATAAATATTAATAATTAAAATTGTTAATTTTTTTCATAAATATATAGAAAAAATCAAAATTACTCTAGTGTAATACCCCTATAAAATAATAATAAAAATCAAGTACTATATAGCAATTCTCATATAATATTGGCACATTAGGTTTGTCTCTATGAATATGATGATATGATAGGACCTTAAACTAAAAGTATTAAGGAGTCACTACAAAAATTTTAATACTCCTAATGCCGTCTTAAAAAACTTTTAGCAACGGCAATTGTTGCCTTTTACAATGACATTTTATTATCACTTATAATATGTAAAAAATTGAGACATTTTGCAACGGCACTATTTTACCGTTGCTAAAAGTTTTATTGAATACGGCAAAAAATGCTGTCGTGAATTTATTTTTTTTTTTGCAACAGCCATGGCCACTGTCGCCAATGGTTCTAATGTTTTTTGCAACGATGTGGTGCTGTCGGAAAAAAAAAACTGCAAGAAAATTATTAAAAATATTAAAATTACCTATATCAAATGAAAAATAATTGAAAAAGAAACCAATAATTGTATAATAATATAAAAATTCTTGTTCAGAAATAACAATTTCTCCATAATAAAAATATTATTGCATTCATAACTACACATCAACAAAATTACCTCACTACATAATGTTCCATAATACATATCTAATGATTAAATACATAATGCTTAAATACATAATGTTGTTCATAATTCAAAATAACATAAACCAAAATTAAAAATTTTCCTCATAATTTTTCGTGGCTAACAAAAATAAAAGTTAAGTCGCATTCTTCATAGGCATGCATTCCACAAGCAAACCTACTCGGGGAAATATCTGAAACCAAAAAATACAAATAATTAATGACAATATAATTATGTGTTAATATGTTAATTACAAAAAAATATAAGAATTTAACTACTATACAATTACAAATATAATTAAGTAAATAATTTTGCCTAGACAGAAATCCAGCTCTAACTCCTAAACCGGGAACCCGATTCGAGTCCCGTTTTCTTTCACAAGTCTCTCGTGCCTAGGCGGTCATATGTGCCAAGTTTCGTGCTAATCCGACACCATTTGGTGATTTTGGGGCGTCAACACCTCAAATTCTAAGTTTCTTAAGGAACTAATTTGCCTAAAGTGAAATTCGGCTCTAACTCCCAAACTGAGAACCTGATTCAAGTCCCGATTTCTCCCACAAGTCTCTCTTGCCTAGGCGGTCGTGTGTGCCAAGTTTCACCCTAATCCGATGCCGTTTGGTGATTTTGGGGCGTCAACACCTCGAATTCTAAGTTTCTTAAGGAACTAGTTTGCTTAGATTGAAATCTGGCTCTAACTCCCAAACCGGGAACCCGATTCAAGTCCTGTCTTCTCCCACAAGTCTCTCGTGCCTAGGTGGTCGTGTGTGCCAAGTTTCGTGCTACTCCGACGCCGTTTGGTGATTTTGGGGCGTCAACTCCTCGAATTCTAAGTTTCTTAAGGAACTAGTTTGCTTATAGTGAAATCTGGCTCTAACTCCCACACCGGGAACCTGATTCAAGTCCCGTCTTCTCCCGTAAGTCTCTCGTGCCTAGGCGGTCATGTGTGCCAAGTTTCGTGCTAATCCGACGCTGTTTGGTGATTTTGTGGCGTCAACACCTCGAATTCTAAGTTTCTTAAGGAACTAGTTTGCTTAGAGTGAAATCCGGCTCTAACTCCCAAATCGGGAACCCGATTCGAGTCCGTCTTCTCCCACAAGTCTCTCGTGCCTAGGCGGTCGTGTGTGCCAAGTTTCGTGCTAATTCGACATTGTTTGGTGATTTTAGGGCGTTAACACCTCAAATTCTAAGTTTCTTAAGGAACTAGTTTGCTTAGAGTAAAATTCAGCTCTAACTCCAAAACCGGGAACCCGATTTGAATCTCGTCTTCTCCCACAAGTCTCTCGTGCCTAGGCGGTCGTGTGTGCCAAGTTTTGTGCTAATCCGACGCCGTTTGGTGATTTTGGGCCGTCAACACCTCAAATTCTAAGTTTCTTAAGGAACTAGTTTGCCTTGAGTGAAATCCGACTCTAACTCCCAAATCGAGAACCCGATTGTGTGCCAGATTTAGTGCTATTCCGACTCCGTTTGGTGATTTTGGGGCATCAACACCTCGAATTCTAAGTTTCTTAAGGAACTAGTTTGCCTATAGTGAAATCCGGCTCTAACTCCCAAACCGAGAACCCGATTCGTGTCCCGTCTTCTCCCATAAGTCTCTCGTGCCTAGGTGGTCGTGTGTGCCAAGTTTCGCGCTAATCCAACGCCATTTGGTGATTTTGGGGGGTCAACACCTTGAATTCATGAGGCTAAAAAAGAATGACAAAAATGTTACTTGAAACCCTTTCACGAGGCTGAATTCAATGTTAATGGTAGACATGACCTTTTACACCTTGTGTTTTGCTACTTTGTGTGGTTAAATTCCAGCCCATATAAATAAATAAGCAAAAGCAAACCTAAAACGTACTTCCATATCTATGATGCCATGAACACATCAAAATGCTTGTATTTTTTAACCACTCAAAATCTCATATTAATAGCTAAAAGAGCAATCAAGATTCAACTACCTACTATATTTGCATCCATTAACAGTTCAGACACTAGATTCAATTAAATTAATATAGTAAACCATCAATATGCATAGAATATAATTTGCTAGAAATCACATTAATATCAACAGTAAACGGAAAGCTACATCAAAGCATGCACACATGCAACTCTAGATGTGGTAGCAAGCAAATAATAATCATGATCATATTCAGAACCATCTAGATGTGGTAGCAAGCAGCTTTAAATCATTTATTTGAAGCATTTGTTCAACATGAAGTTATTTTAGGATATTAAAAAGATAAAACAATGAAAAGAAAATAAGAAAAGAAAATACAAAATGCACGAATGCATTTGTAGGAAAACTTGTAGTAGAAAAACCAAGATAATTGAAACTCACTTTTTTTCCCAGCAGTGTTTCACCAACTGGCTCTCCAAGCAGCTTCTGCTTTACAACAATGTGTATCTCATTCTGCAGTAATAACAAAATAAAAAAAAAACTAATTCACATAAACATGACTTAAATTTCATACAAAAGTATGTGTTATATATGATATAACCACATATACAAAGAACAGTGTCTTGCAAAAGAAAAGGTGTAATGCCTGTCCATATAATTCTAAAATCCCAAACATCCAGTATTTCACAAGAGTCCCAAAAAATAAAAATAATAAAAATAAAATGCATATTGAATGCGCACTACCACAAAAAGTTCTAAACCTAAAAGCAAAGTTGAAATATTGTCAATAAACAACGAAAGTCAGGAGATATGAAGAAAACCAAGCCACGTGTATGAATTCTTAAGATATCTCAGCAATAATGACAAATAAAAGACAAAAGTGCTTAGAATAAATAGCTTAATAACAAAATGTGCTCCAAATGATCAAATGGTCAAGCAATAGTGGATTTTCGCATACGACCAATTCATATTTAAATAGGAGAAACACCTTGTGAAAAACACTGAGTGTGAGCACATCATTTAGATACTTCTAACACTAAATAGTGGGAATTTGTCTAGAGTGGGAACGGCTATCAAGAGGGAATAAAAAGATAGAAAATAAAGGAAATAAAATAGAAGGGTTATATGCCAAAATGACCAACACTGCAGCAAATTTGAACCCGTCAAAAACAATGTCATGTACCTTTGGGGATTAATGAATTTAAGCTTTGTAGTGAAGACGAGGTAGAAAGAATAAAGTAATTACAAGGCACACTGCTATCGATGAAAATAATATATAGTAATAGATAAGAGAGTAAATCTAATCAACAGTTTTATAAGTTAAAAGACTAGTGATATATCACTCACCTATATTGTGATATTGATCAAATACATCACTTTCTATTTGCAAGGTTATTACAAAAATGATCGTGCGAGGTAATGAAAATTAATAAATAATTAACTAAACTCTCAGGAAGGAGCTAAATCATAATTCTGGTTAAGCTCTTATCAACACAATGAAATTTATCATGGTTTGAGAAAATTATGGAAGAAAAAAGTAACAAACAAAAGACTTTCCAATATAGGGGTATTGGGCTAAAATTTTCACCAATTGAACTTCAACACATAAATTTCACTTTGGAAAAAGGAGAAAATCAGCAACATATCATGAAGAGATAGCACAACATAAATTTATCATTTTTGTCAATTGTACGCATTCCAATAAAATGAAATCACATTCATTCAACATAAAATGTTACATACTATAATGTAATTCAAATGAAGTACAGCAAATGCTAAAGGCATCTAAATCCAATTATCCTACAGTCTAGAACTACTGCCACAACACAAGTGATAAAAAATATGTGAGCACAAGGCTAACGTCTACAGATGCCCTTCAGCACCTCTAATGTTGTTTTTTTCTCGGTTAATGGAGTTTGTTTCTTTTGGGAAGAGGTATTGGGTACTGAAGGGGATGGTTTGGGCTTGTTCAAAGGGTTTTGTGTTTTGAGGGTCTTTTGAAACACAACCGGTAAAGGGCAACACCAAAATCCTTCTCGGGTCACTGCAATTGGAACATTTTTTACCTTGGTTTGACCCTGGTCTAACCTTGTAACTCTGATTTCAACCATTTCAACAAGAATTCAAAACATAATTTACTCAAAATACGCCATTTACTATTGAAATAGCAATATGGACCCAAAAGGATTACAAGTGCCTAAACTTTCCTTATGACAGAAAATCCATTTCTCTCGAAAATGACAGAAGAACTTGAAATTTCAAGAAATTTGTTTCACTTCAGAAATCCACAAAAGAAAAGGTTTCAAAGTTAAAACCCAAAATGTTGAACTGAAGATATATATCTATCAACAACATAAATTGTAATAGTCACTGGATTGCATGAAGTTCAATTTAGAAGAAATGGAAGTTGCTTCAATATCAGATTCTAGATTTAAAGTTCCCTCTAAAATGCCTAAAAAGGATAAATGTTTCTTTGGTTTGCAAAAATACAAGAAAACCACAAGTTCAAAGAGAAATTTTTGAATTTTTTTCGTACAAATAGAGAATTAAAGAGAAAAAAAACATGGTAAATGATAGATTCCTTGCTTTCCCCTCTTTATATCTAACTACAAATACTAGCCCTAGACAAAACCCATCAAAGAAATGACTTCACAAATCACAAACAAGCTCGAAATGAGAGACGTAAAGAGTAGAGAAAAAAATGAGAAAGAAGAATCACAATCACCAACCAAACACTAGACCACCATCGTTTGTCGTTGCTCGCTGTCTCACGCTGCTCGCTGCTCGTCGTTGCTTGACGCTGTCGTCTGCCACTGATCGATGCCGTCTCACGCTGCCACTGCCGCTGCCATCGCTCGACGCCGTTGTCTGCCATGCTTACAGTCGAGAGAGAGAGAGAGAGAGAGAGAGAGAGAGAGAGAGAAAGAGAGAGAGAGAGAGAGATTGGGGATATTTGGTTCAAAAGATTAGGGATTTGAGATTTGGGGATTTTTGGTTGAGGGAAAAAAACGAGCGCGAATAAGAGAAAGCTAGGGAAGAGATGAAACAGAAAAACCCGGTGTCCATTTTGCTGCACAATGAAAGCTAGGAAGAGAGAGGAATAGAAAAAGAGAGAAACAGGAAATGATCAGCGAGAGAGAGAGATAGAGAAAGAAAGAGATGAACGAAAGAGATATAGAGAGAGACAAAAAAAAAGAAAAGATAGATGAGCAAAAGCGACAGAGAGAGTCAGAGAGATGAGAGAAATAGATAAGAGAGATGAGTGAGAGATATAGAGAAGAGATATGAGTGAAAGAGAGAAAGAAGAGAGATGAGCGAGAGACACAGAGAAAAAGAGACACACACATACATAGAGAGAGAGAGAGACCCATTTCATTTTTTGAGTTTTTTCTCTTTCAACAACAATGGGCTCAGAGAAAGAGATGAGTGTGATTGAGAGAAATGAACGATTGAGAGAGAAGAGAGATGAGTGAGAGAGAGACAAAGAGAGAGAGAGAGAAAAAAAAAGAGAGAAACAAGATGAGCGAGAGATAGACAAAGAGAGAGAGAGAGAGAGAGAGAGAGAAAGATAGCAAAAAGAGATGAACAAGAGATATATATTTATATATATAGAGAGAGAGAGAGAAGAAAGATGAGTGTAGACACCCCATTTCTGACCATTCTCAAGACTTGGATGTTCTTGCAGGTATATCCAGTGATGAGTTTCATTGCTCGTCGAGCGCTCGAAATCCGCAACGGAACGCCACAGGTTTGAGCTTTCCCAAACCCTGCATCAATTTTGTCTCATTTTTGGACCATGTTTAGGTCCTTTCCATTTGTTGTTTTTGATGCACTGCCGGCCATGTTTGGGCACTACCGGCCATGGATTTTGTCCTATCGGCCATTGATGTGTCATGTCGGCCATCAATGAGCCCCTGCTGGCCATCACTGATGGCCGGCCAGCCACCAATGTATCAGTAGATATATTCTGATATTTTGTGCCAGCTGTTTGCACAGATTGAGCCATCTTCTTGCATGTGTATAGTTGGATCTCTTTGAAGGGCTTTTGTATCTTCTATATATAGAGGCCCCCTCCTGCATGTGAGGGGGTTGGAAAATTTGAAGACAAAAAAATTCTCTCTCTCTCTTTATCTCTAGAATCCTCTCTCTAAATATTTTGTGCCTTATAGCCTAAATTCTCTACACTCTTGCATATAAGCCATTGATCAAACTTGATCACCATTGAGTTGAGGTTGCTTGAGGTCCTATTTGAGCTCTAGAAGAGGATATTGGCTTGGTTTGGTTTGATTTTGGTGTTTAAAGTGTATCTTGTCTTTAAGAGGTAGAACACTTGTGTTTTAAGCTTATTTTAAACACTTGTTTTGCTATCTTTGCATACTATTTTGAGGCTGGTTTTGACCTCTGAAATCTCTGTTTTTATGGTCTAAAATGGTGGTTTGAGGTTTGGTTGGAGTTAGGGGTAGTCCACTCTTCTTGTTGCTTGATTATTAAGTTGTTGTGCCATCTTTCAAAGCTTTCTAAAACAACTTTTTTGGCTCTTTTAACCACTGAATTTTAGGGGATTTTCAATGGTAAAAACTATGTTTTGAGGTCCAAAATGGGAGGGGGTAGCCTCCCCTCCTTGTGTCTTGTTTGTAAGCCTAGATAGCCTAACATGTGAACATGATTTTCTAGCATTTTGTACCTTGATATCAGCATGTTTTTGCTACCTTTTTGGCTAGCTTTAGCTCTGTTTTGAACTGGTTTGGTCACTCGAGGTTTGCTTTGTATGCTTGTTGTACAATTATGCTTAATAGTCTAGTTTGTGCTATGTGTTGGCCTCCTATTCTAGCTATTTTTGGCTTACTTCAAGCATGTTTTAGGACTCCTCTTAGACTGTTTTAGGACTATTTTGGAGTGTTTGTACCTTTAGAGCTTTGTATTGCATGCTCATAGTGTTGTGATCTTCATTAGTTTGGTGTTTTTGGCTTTTAAACATGGTTTGCATGAGTTGCTAGCATGTTGTAGTGTCATTTTGCATGTAATTTCAACAAATATAATATCTGCAACCTCCCTCATTTCTTCACTTTTTCATTTGCTTTGAGGGTTGGTTAACCTTTGGGTTGTGTTTAAGCTTGAGATTGAGGTTTGTGCTTAATGATTTTAATCCTCTTTTGAGGGTTTCTACTAACCAACGGCATGATCTCTCTCATGCCTTAAATCATCCTTTGGTTGACCCCTCTCTCATTAGAGGACACTCACCTTAGACAAATTGACTAAAGAATGGTTTGGTAACTTAACATGTGTAAACAAAAGTGGACAAGTAAAACTTGAGCAAGTAAAACATGTTGTGTTTGCATTGCATGTGTTCAATCGGACGTTATATTGAACACAAGGAAGATTGAAGCATTTCATACTTAAAGTGATGAAATGAGCCAATCTCCTTGGTCTTCATTGCCTTTGATCACACATGATAAGGTGGTAGTCATTTGAGTCTTGTTTTGTGCATTTATTGAAATTATACTCCTTGGATCTGTGGCCATCATGCATTGAAAATGCTTGATTGGTGGTTTTGGATCCAAGAATGCCACTCCTTTGATGTTTTGAGATGATAAGGAGGGGTATAGTACAAACATATCCTTGGAAAACCCCTCCATTTTTCTCTGTTTGTGCTCTGTTGCAGTGTGGTGACCCAGAGCACCAGTGGTCGGCAATGGCTCATTGATGACCGGCAGTGCCTTATTCTTGGCTGGCATGGCACACTTTTGGCCGGTAGGTGGCCGGCAGCAAGCATTCATGGTCGGCAGGCCACTGGTGCAATCCTCCGCATTGATTTGGTAAGGTGGAGTAGAAAGTTTCTAGATTATGGTCAACCTTGCAAATAGAGCCTCTCAAGAGCAAATCGGAGGGCTTTTCGGGGCGAAAACCGAGCGCATGCATCCTCCATTTCCTAAGGCAGAGCTGAAGCAGTGTAGTTTAAATATCTTGCATGATTAGTTAGTATACATTTTCTTTAATTAACTAGTTTGCTACTTAGTTAAGTGTTGTAATAATTAGTAGTTTGCTAGTTATGCATGGGTTTGTAATAATTAGTCTAATTAGTTTAATTAGATTAGTTGAATAGCTTAGCCTAATTTGTGTAACTAGTTAGCTTATTCATTCGGACTCTCCTTCGTGAGGGCACAATGTTGTAATAAGTGTGCGTGATTGTGTGTATGTCTTCCAACCTCGTGTCATTCTCCCTTTTATTTAATCGCTTTCGATGGTTAGATTAGGGACATTTTCAATTAGCATATCTTATGCTTGCATGTTTGCATCCATTCATTTGTATTGTATGCACCGAGGCTCGGCGCATCATTCAAACTGCATCGTTATTTCAATACTTTTTTAATACGTGTTTAAAAGCATGTTGTTCAAATTGTATCATACGCCATATTAGTAGTCGAGCCTATTAATTGCATTATTGCATGTGTTGCATTAGTCATTTAACATAGTTAGGATCATACATTTTTCTAACTAGTTTTTATTTTGGCTTGGAGTACTTGGTAAGCTTTTACGCTTTAGCATACTTACATGAGTGTGATTGCCCCATTGCCATGTTTCGCATGCTTACCATGAGGCTATGTGCTTAAATGTTTACCTGCATGAATACCTGTGGATGAAGGCTTGGTTGCTTGAATTGGAACAATTCAATGAATGTCAGGTTTAAAGCCCATCATGTTTGATGGCAAATCCGCGTTTTAGCCCCACTTGAGGATGGCAATTTCAAACCATTTTTGAATGCAAACATGAGTTGAATTCGTTCCAAGTCTTGCGACTTAGTCTTGCTTGTGTGCATCACAAAGTAAAGTTAGCTAATAATTGGAATAAGAACATATGAGGTTTATAAAATAACATATCATGATTAGTAGAGGCCGATCTTTGATCGGGCGAGCGGGGATGGTCATTTCAGGACCTTCCCCTCTCGTACCCAAGTTCCTGAGCCGAGACAACTTTGGTGATGACAGACATGTGGCCTTTGGCACGAGTCAGGGTTTCCTATATTTCCCTAAAATAAAATATTTAGGTGGCAGCTCTGTAATCTGGCAAAGTAGTCCAGTTTTAGCATTATTTGATTCAAAATCGATTTTCTAAAATGATTTGTCGGATTGGTCTCTTTGGTGTTTATCAGTTTCACATTACACTTGTGAGACTAGATTCAGAACCGTGATAGGAGTCCGAACTGTAGGACCAATTCGAGCTCTCCGAAAGGGGGCACGAAAAAGTCAAGCTACAATTTCTGGCAACTCTACTAGGGATTTAGAGAACTTGACTTGAACTCATGGTATGTTGTTTTATTTACACTTATGTGTTTATTTGCATTTGCATTTCCATTAGTGTACCTAAGTCACAGTGTTTGCCATCTGTTATTCCTGAACGGTTTGCCGGAGGCTTGCTTGGAAAAGCTTTCCAAAAGGCTAACCGGTTGCGGGCTTTGCCATGATGGGAACACAAGCCTTGTTGTGCTCTTCTCTTTACATTCAACAGAGATGTAGAGTGGCTTGTTGTGCTCAGAGCCCTCAGGCGGCAATTCCTTATCTGTGAAAGTCAAAGTCAGCGATGCCTCTCTCGGGAAGACCAGTCCCACTAACTGCTCAGGGGTTGTGTCAATTGAGAGCTTAGCCTTATCCATTACTGATAAGACAGCTTGTCTGTGCACCCGTGAAGCCATGAACAATCCCCAAATGGATATATCCACCTGAATCTTCTTCAGCTGCTTCAGTACAGCTTCTTCTTCTAGCAGTTTATCTTTCTGTTTCTCTACCTCCTTATCCTTCCATGATGCTTCTAGTTAGTCCAGGTGTGGGGGCTTAAAGTACCGCCGGCTCCTGGTCATGTGATCGACTTCCTCGGCATACCATGTATCATCTGGCAAATTCTATCTCCAATCCTCATCCGTGTGGGCAAGATGTAAAACATCATCTTCCCACCACATTCCTCCGGCAACCAATAAGAACATGTCCGGTTTCGCTGTAATTATTCTCGTGTCCACAACACAGTCAGTCCCTGCAAGGCCTTTGGCTTTTCTAACCTTCTGATCATTCTCAATTCTTTCATGCTCGAACCGCTTCAACGCGGCCTCCTATTTTGTATCGGTTGTACAAGTACTACCCAATTCTTGAGCAAAATTCTTAGTACCGGTGCTCTCCGGCAACTTCCCCTTGTCGTCGACCGTTCC